ACCAGGATCCTTTGAGAGAGCCAGACACTAATAAATAGGTAGTACAATCTAAGACAGACTTTAAAATTTATTTTCCATGAGAGCCATTGTGTTTACTCATAAAAGGGATAAATGCTAATTGTACAAAAGTTAAGCAATTCAAAAAAGCAAAAAGAAGTAGAACTGAAAATTTCCCTAAGGGAAAACCATTATTAACATATTGGGAAACACATTTCTGACTGTCTTTCCTAGATTTATTTTAGATAGAGATATACACGTACATACAAATTATTTATGGGATCATAAAATGTATGCTGGCTTGTATCCTGTCTCTTTATATATGACACATATATATGTTATCTGTGTGTGTGTAAATAAATTGGGGGGGCATATTTTTCCATAATAAAAAACGAAGACTTAGAATAAGTTTTTAAATTCCAGTTAACATCCAGTGTAATATTAGTGTCAGGTGTACAATACAGTGATCAACACTTCCCTATACATCAGCCCGTGCTCATCAGGACAAGTGCACTCGTTCATCCCCAGCACCTGTTTCCCCCATCCCCCCACCACCTCCCCTCTGGTGACCATCAGTTCTCTATAGTTAAGAGTCTGTCTCTTGCTTTGTCTCCCTCTGGTGCTGTTTTTTTTTTCCCCATTTGCTAAGTCATCCTTTTAAGGCCTAGTTTTTTACAGATGCATTGCAGGGATGTACCATAATTTATTTTTCCACGCTTCTCTGCATGGACATTTAGATTATTTCCAAATTTTGCCATTAGACACAATCTAAGAGTCAGACATGTCGGTTAATCGGGAGAAAACTTTTCAGAGCATTCACTCCAGCAGAAGGCGCTATGTCTGCTGAGTTACCTCTGCCGGTTGTCCTCGGGCGGTCTGACTTCTCGGTTACAAGCCGGGATCCTGCGAGTCTAGTGTCCTCCTAGTTTAAAATGGAAGTGGAGATTCTAAGGGCTGTCCTCTAAGGAACTAGACAGGTCTTTACAGAATGCAGAGGATGGTGGTTCCAGACGGTGGGACTGTCTCCACTCAAGCAAAGACAAAACGGAAAGCCTCCGTAGATGAGCTATTTGGCTCTGTAAACTTATAATACTTACTAAATTGGAAACTGATGCGGCTGACTCCCAATCATCTCTGCAGCTTTTACATGCATGCCTCTCTTGGGCAGCAACCACCTGCCATCCACCAGCTGTTAGCACCATATCCCTCCCCCCACCTCCATCCTTTGAATTCCACAAGGAGAAGCCATCACTCAGGCACCCCAGATCCCCGAGCATCCCCTGAGGTCCCTAGGGAAAAGCCAGTGAGGCTCTGGCATTTCCAGCATGGGTGAAGCTTCATGGTATTTACCGCACGGTTCAGTTTTTCTCATGGAGTCTCTCCGAGGGAGCCAGTTCCATTAAACTCTCATTTGTAAAGCATCAATCACTGTGCTGTCAGTTCCTTTTCTCTTCAGCTGAAGGGAAGCAGCATATACGACAAATAGCTTGGGCCAAAAAGACTGGAGCATGAACCCAGTTCTGCTACTTGACAGCTCGGTGGCCTTGGGCAAGATATGACCCTGTCTGGTAATCCTCGGTTAGCTCTGCTGAAAAATGGGGATGACAGTAGTCCCTCAAAGGGGTGCCTAGAAGATTAAGGGAGAAAACTCACTTATTATGCTATTCCTGACAATATGAGCTTTATTGATGTTAGCGATGTTAGCTATTGTTGTTAGTGATGATGAAGTCTTTGTAAAAACACAACAAAAATCTCATCCTCCTGCCCTTAAGAGTTGATGTTGGGACTAAAAATAATGCATATGGATGTGCCCAGCATGTATGTGTTTCACAAAGGCTAATTCCCATTTCTTTCTGACAGCCCCAAGCTTCGTTTATTTCCCTGCATAGACTCTCCCTAATATACAGTACAAAACTACTGAAGAAATAGCAAAGTAGATACATGTTTTTACCTCATATCCTGACTACAGTGAAATAAACATCTGTGTGTGGGTGTAACAGTGATGAGCTGGTTAGAACGAAAATGGGCAATACACGGGGAATCGTGGAATGTGTTCATTGGAGGGGAACTCAGAACTCAGGGGGAGTGCTGGCTAGGAGATGAGTCGCAAACAAATGGCCATGGTCTCAAGACGTGATGGACCCCAAGAGCTCATTGGCAGCCAACTGGACTTTGTTCTAGAGATGATTTTATTAGCCTAGTAGTCTCCCTGGTTGGGAATGGCATTCAAGGAAAAGGCTGGGTTAAGAAAGCATCTTGTAAAAATACAAACTGAAAACTGGAAGCTGAATCACGTGGGTATTTGGCCATGTTTATTGCTTGTGCAGTGTTGACACGTAGAAATCATTTCTTCCCTTCCATGCCTAATTAAGGGCACTTTGGGACCAAAGAAAAAGACCAAATAACCCATGCTTGTCCTTATAGCTTCCCTTGTTTTTCTCCTGTTAAGCTAAGAGATACACAGTGTGGAGCTGAGACCCCAGCTCCGCTGTGACTTTGCCCATGATAAATCGTCATGGTTCCTCACGTTCCCTCTTTGATTCATGCAGTCAACAGATATTTAATAGGCATTTACTCTGTGTCATGGATAGTGAGTAAAAAGATCCCCCATCACAGGCTGCTTACAGACTAGTGAGAGGAGACAGGAGCTGAACAAGTAATGAAAAATAGTCTGTGTATGCGCTTGGGATAGAGCTAGAGAGAACAAGAAAGCAGGGAGAGGGGGGTGGTTTCTCTTTTATGGAGGTTGGTATGAGGACACACCGATGAGGACACATTTGAGCAGAGAACTTCGGGAACTGAGAGGGGGATTCCTGGGGATATCTGTGGGAAAATATTTGGGCAGAAAAGTATAAGCAGATAGACTGAGGCACAGGCTTGCTCGGTGGGCTCCGGGAATAGCAAGGGGGCGAGCGTGACCCCAGCAGAGTGAGTTAGGGGGTAGCTGGGGTCTAGACCTCGTAGTCTCTGTGACAGCTTTGTCTTTATAGGAGCAAGATGGGAAGGCACTGGAGTGTTCTGAGCAGAGGAGTGAGATAATCTGGCTTTGTTTGGCACTCACATGATGTACGCTATCGAGCAGAGCCTGCTGGCTGGGGCAGGGGTCCAGCAGACAGACCCTGGGCCAGTTTCCCACCCATGGCACTTTCTCACTTAACGTCACAATAACTCTATACTGTGTTCTCTTCAGCAAGAACTGGGGCTCTGAGGGCAAAGCAACTAAGCAAAGGCAGGGTTGAGGTCCAGACCTGTGATGACCCCAAATCAGAGTTCTTTCCTCCCACCCTGTGTACAAGTAAAAACGTACATCACCATCACTGCAAAGAATAATGGACAAGTTTTCCATCAGGTGTGTAAGCCTCCCAAGAGACTGAGGTCCTTACACTAAGGCTCCGAAGAGAACATGAGTTTATTTCTTCTCTGGTGTTTAGCACTCTGACACGGCTTATTTTTCATGCTGTCTGTCCAGATTTCTAGAAGTGTGTGTTCACATTTTGTATTTTATTATGAGCTACAACTGGATTCATTTGAATCACACTCATCTGTCATCTGAAAGAGTTTCAAAGACCCATAGAGGGGCCCTTGGCCGCTTAAGGCAAATTCGAATTTCCATTTTTCTCTCTGACCTGTCATAGACATTCACAGATGCTGGCCACAGCCTGAGGCTCGTTGATGTGAAGTGTCCTTGTGTTGTCGTCCAAGGCCCCTGCCCTGTGAATGTCCTCTTGGACTGTGTTCAGTCTGTACATGTGTGCATGAACAACACCGTGAAGAATCGCACTGCTGGGCAGATGACGCAGTAAACAATTCACAACTCCAGGGGGAAGTGATCCTTCAGCTGAAAAGCAGAAACAGCTTGCCATGTCATTTACCCAAGGCTTTCATGACTTCCAAATAATGCAGGCTTGAAGATTCTGTTTGTGGCTCCACAGCACGAAAAAACTCTTTGCTGTTGCTATGAAGCAATTAGCTCCATCACCCAGATCTCTTCCTTTCCTTACAAGTCACCTTGTTGAGGAGCACCTGGTGGGGGCGCAGTCCGTGAAGCCTCCCCCTCTGGGTCTCGGTTCAGGTCATGATCTCAGGACCATGGGATCGAGCCCCGTGTCGGGCTCTGTGCTCAGCAGGGAGGCTGCTAGAGATTCTCTCCCTCTCCCCCCATCTCTAATAAGAATAAATAAAAATCTTAAAAAAAAAAAGTCATCTTGTTAACATTTTTTGTAAAACAGTGACCCACAGACCCACGGCTTGCCTGAGGACTGGTATGCGGAGAACACAAGCCCCCGGGAGCCATGTGGGACTGCGCCAATGGTGTGGAGGCCGTGGAGATGTCCCAGCCCAGCTTAGGCTTTCCCAGTTAGTACGACAAAGCGGTCAGCTTTGAGGGCAGACAGGATCAAAGCCATCATGCATACTGGAGAAGAAGAAGAAGAGTTTTCAGAATCTCTTGAAAATTTTGTTTTAATTGGGAGGAAAGGCCAGACTGGACAGTAGGAAGGGAAGAAGGGACAGTACGTGCTTCTGCAGTCTCAGCAGAGAGAGGGGTCTCTTATGGAAATGTCCACCGGTCAGGACCGAGGAGGAAGAGTTGTAAAGACCCATACGGTCCTACATCTACCACACCTACTGGAAGAGAAATTGGAGAATTTCGTTTTTATGCTCTTTTGATTGCAGGAGAGAAACTATAAAGTATGCTCCAACGCATCGTGTGATATGAAATAACACAGTGAGAATCCAATTCGCTTTCCCTCTTCCAATCCCAGTAGACACAGCACTAAGTGAGCATCTAGGTACCCTCTATCTGGTCCAGTGGAAGGACCATGGACAAGGGCCGTGGACCTGGATTTCTGCCCAGCTCCAGCAAGCACGTAGTGTGTGACTCAGGCGGCACCCGGGGAGTCCCTGCTGTGCTCAGCACACTGGGTAATTTGCGGATGAGAAGGCACTCTGTTATATTAATGCTGTGGACTTTTTCTCACTTATTTTCTGTGCTTTTCTTTAAGGTCCAGTTGAAAAGTGAAGAATCCAAAACCTTTGCCATGAAGATTCTCAAGAAACGCCACATTGTGGATACAAGACAGCAGGAGCATATCCGCTCGGAGAAGCAGATCATGCAGGGGGCGCATTCTGACTTCATAGTGAGGTAAAGACCCCACACCCCCCGGGCTGATGTGCCCACTCTCCGTGGAAAGTCAAGCCACCAAACCCGTCGCCACCCCTGCTCACCATCACACATTTCATTCACCCAGGAAACATTTTTAAATCTGATTTTAAGAAAGTTTTGTTAGGCTTTAAAAAAAAAAAACAACTGAAGTTTGATTCTATCCTTTTTTTTTTTTTTTAAAAGAATCAGATTCTGTGAAGAAAACGTTTTTCCCAAAGGAGATCTCTCCATTTCTGACATTCCATTTTATGCTCTCTGTGACTGAAAAACCCTACATAGACTTTTGGAGCTTGAAAGACAAAAATAATCAAATTATCCTCCCTTTGAATACTAATATGTAAATTTAATTTTTTGAAGATTAAAAAAATGAAATGACTGTTCCATCTCCATATTTTCAGAGCATTAGAGGATAACGGGGAGTTCTTATATACCAAAAAATAAAACCTGTTCTAGTTAATTTGTCAGGGGCACATAAAAACAGGGCATAAGGTGAACTTAAGGAACAGCAAGGGAATTTCATACATGTCTATGTTTGTAAAGTATATCTATTTTATATGCATGTAGGTTGCATGTTTATCACCACTCAATGTGGCTCAAGTGTCCATGCTTAAAACGTCAGCCAAACGGGGACCCCAAGAAGCCACCTTGGTCCATAATCCTTTGGATTCCTCCATTCATTGCCCAGGAAAGACTAGCCCCTACACCATACATACCTTAGTCAGGAGCCTGTTGCCTCTTTTTCCCTATTTGCAAACAGATTTCCTTTAATCTTTCCTAATCCTTTCTTTCCTTTAATGACATTTCAAGCTTGGTAAATCAAGTATAAGACTGTAATCTGAGCACTTAAAGCATTTACATTCTTTTCAAAGACAACAATGTTTATAACCCTTGTTTTCTTGTTTGCAATTCACAGATTGTACAGAACGTTTAAGGACAGCAAATATTTGTACATGTTGATGGAAGTGTGCCTGGGTGGAGAGCTCTGGACCATTCTCAGGGATAGGTAGGAGTTTTAAGAAATGTCTATCATTTCTCTAAAAATGTAGTTGACTATGATGGTCCTAAGAAGAGTCCATTATAAAGTATAAAAATCATATTTACATGTTACATATGCTTATATTTCAGAAAATAAGTAAATATGGGCCACAACCCACCGTACATACATGCTTTAGTCAATGTGACGCTCACTCTGATTTGTAACTAATGATAAAGGCTTAGTCCAGCGTGGAAATGGTAACCTAGCAAGGTATCTGCACAGGTCTTTTTTTACCTTGAATATCAGAATCAGCTGACTGTATGCCTAGAATTCAGTTTGTTGCTGTGACTGAAGGGAACAGAGGTAGGTTATAGTTGCTATCTGGATTGTCAGCTTAATTGCTTTACTCATTGGCCAGATGGGCAGTCTGCCTTTCCTGACATTGAGAATGTTTTTTTCCCCGAGTTACTTTTTCTTCTGGCTTTACATTGCTCTTTGGTTTCAAAATTAACAAGTTCTAGCCATCTTCTTTAGGCTTCAGCTGATCTTAGGAAAAAATGAATCCACTTATAAGCAGTATTTCATGTAAACAATCTAATTCAGATTGACTTATGTTTGCCCTTTGAGGGCAAGTAAATTCGGTCTACTTAGTGCTTGTTTCTATCTCTTATTTATAGAACTAGCAAACTAAAAATCTATAAAATGTCCCAGGAGATCATTACCAATCCTAAATTTTTACTTAAAAGACAATTTTCTTTTCCTGTGAATGATCTTTTGCTCGTTTCCTATGACTGAGCAAACATTTAGAAGTCATCCTTGTTCCTTTGAAGGTTCACCTTTTGACATCTTTTCTTTTTTCATATTTGTTACAGTCTTACCCACATCCTCCTTCATTGGGTAACATCTTACTGAAACTCTGTTGTAGACTGCCCTGTTATTGCCAGAAAGCCCTGCTATTGTTACTCTGTAGATATCCCAGAACAGTAATTAATAGAACCCAGAGTAGCTTATGAAGTCTCATTCCTAATAGCATTCTTATGGTAATTAACTTACTTCATGTCTTTGGAAGCATTGACCTTTCAGGTCTTATCCCCTTTGCCTTCCTTGTATATATCAATTGGATTTCTTTTTACCTTATCTTGTGCTAATTACATTGATGTTGTGTTTCACTTCTTTAAGGGAAATAAGTATATAGGGCAATGCATCATGTTGGCAGTAGGGGCCAGGGTAAACATCTGTACTAAGATGTTTATAGTGCATTATTACATTATTTCTAATAATACTTGAGCACAGATCATATGCCAGGCATTGTGCTAGAAGCTGAGGATACAATGATTGATAAAAAAAGATGTGATCCCCTTCTCCTAATTTACGGACTGCTGCATAAAGTTACGATTCTGATTTGTTAGTTAATGTCTGCTTCATCCTAATGTGGTTCTATTTTTGACCTGACCTTTCAATCCCCTAATTTATTTGAAATTGAAATATCTTCCCTGATTTGTTCTAATTAGAATAGAAGATTTACAGGTGGAAGTAAACATGAAAGCAATAATAAGCCACAGAGGGAGAGGAAATATTTTAAGCTTTTATTAACTAACTTCTTTAAGCAGGCAACAACAACACAAATCAATCTCAAGTCCACTTACGGGGCATCAAACATGCATAGGAATCCAATTTCAATCTAGTTTTTGAAAGAAAATATTATTTCCTATTTCTCCCTATTTAACTCGATTTGCATTTTGTTGGCTCATCAATGCCAGCCAAGGCTTCTGAGGGAGACGTATTTTGATCGGCTAGGGCACCTAAGGTTGCTATTTAAAAGTGGTTTACCTTTGGAGGAGTGGATGGAGGCAAAATATCGGTGGATGGTCCTTTCTCTACCTCCACCCGGGATGCTTTTTGGTCAGGTCCATTTCCTTCCCTTTTATCATCCCCTTTTGTCATCCCTGGGTTTGGGATACACGGTTGGGGAGTCCCCACCATGCTCTTACTACTATGTGAAGAGGCATGATCTGGAGCTAGAAAGGCTGCCTGTTCCTTCCTAAAGATTCAGGAGGGCTGAAGCCTTGGTGTTAAAAGCAATAGAACTATTATATATGCATGTAGCACCTTACTGCTTTTATTCTTTTTTTTTTTTCCCCCACTACTCAAAAAATTGGTTCTGGGGTTGGGGGGGCGGTGCATAGTTGTGGGGCTCCAGTTAATATTGCCACTGACTAGCTTTCTCACTATTTGAGACTGGAAGTCCTAAAGGTTAATTGTTAGGAAGAAACAACAACAAAAAATGCCAAGAGAAAAAGAAAAATAATTATGCTCTTCGTCACAGTGTATATGAAAATATCCGGGGTCAAAACAAATCCCATTCAATTCATTCAGTTTTCTTTTTGCATCCGAGGAAAGCAGCCATAGGGAGAAGCGTATTTGGGTTGATTTTAAGAAAGGCTTGTGTGACCATTCTTGACCGACATGGTAATGCCTCAGGGATTTAGCAAAGGAAGTCTGGATAGCAACAGACCACCTCCTGCCCCTCTTTTTTTCTCATCCACATAGTTTTGTTGTCAAAAACTAAGAATTAAAATACTATAAAAAATAAAGTAGAATGATACCATATATACAAACAGGACTGGAGGATTTTATCTTTGAGATATAAGTAACACCCCTGAAATGTTAATTGTTGCAGTTATTTCTTTGGTCTATTCTTTAGTAGCTATCATAGTTTGTCTTCTCACTTGTGACTGTGTTTTCCACACATTCTGTACCATTATTTGGAATAGGTGGGTATGCGTTATATTTTATTCACCTTTCCTCCATAACTTCCTTAAAAATGTTAAGTGGTTAATATAAGCACATATTAAAATTGGCATTTATAGTAATCTAAAACTCAACATTTCAACTGTTTAATATATATTAATATTTCCTAAATAATTATTTCAGAAACCATAATTTTCAAATCACGCACATCTCACTTCTAGTCATGTGTCCTCCTGGATGTGTTTTATAAGCGGGCCAGTAACTTAAATCTCTATTCTCTTTGATTCTAACTATACTGTGGAGGGTAATTATTTAAATTCCATCTAGGATGACAAAATGGATAGTGCAGATCAAAAGTATTTCAAGGGGTCAGGAGGGTACCAGAATCAGAGGATCCTGGACACACCAAGATGACAGCTACATTTATACAAAGAACTCTGAAAACAACCTGAAGACTGTCAGAGCAAGCCTTCCACAGTTCGTCGTAGAGAAGAGCCCACATTGGAAAGGGTAAGAGGCACGGACACACGGTTGGGAACCAGATCTCCCATGAGATTAATCACAGCTGGGAGGGGCACCACCAGCATGGAGAAGCAGGAGGACCAGGCACCCCCAGCACGACGGGGATAACGGGGACCCATACCATTTGGGTTGGAAAACCAATAACGCTTAACTCAGCAAGGGCTTAAAATCAGCTGGGCTTGGGTCCAGGTACTTGAGACATCAGTGGCCTTAACTCCAGAAGAGCCTGAGGGCAACAGAAAACGGAGTTCCCACCCTTAAAGAACCAGCATTATAAATAAGCTGCCAGCAGGGCACAGAAAGGGCAATTTGAAAAGTGCCTGGAGTCACGTGAAGGACATTTATTTCCAGAGCATGCACTGGAGCGGCAGGAATCTTCAGGAGCCTTCTCCAGGAAAAAAGGAAAAAAAGGGCCGGCAGGCATTTCTCTTCCCTTTTCCAGACTCGATGGGCAGACACTTGGGGAAGCCAGGGCTCTAGCACTGCGTGCCCCACTCCCACGTTCCCTGTGGACCCGTCTCCTTCAACCTGCTTCCCTCAGCAGCCATCCCTCCAACGGGACTCCTGCTCACGGCAGGGAGGAGGGCAAGATTACCATGCCTTTCAGTTACCAGCACGGGGGGAAAAAAAAAAAAACCTGCCTTTTGGTGCACCCACAGCTGTGGCAGAAAGACCAGTGTGGACAGCTCACCTAGTGACCTTGCCACTTCTTTTTCCCTGCCCACCTGCAAGAAATTAAGACAACAATCCCATTTATAATTGCACCAAGAATAAAATACCTAGGAATAAACTTAACCAAGGAGGTAAAAGACCTGTACTCTGAAAACTATAAAACATTGATGAAAGAAATTGATGATGATGCAAACAAATGGAAGAATATTAAGATGTCCATACTACCAAAGGACTCTACAGATTCATTGCAATGTCCATCAGAATACCAATTGCATTTTTCTCAGAACCGGTGTAATCCCAAAAAAGAAGAACCAAGCTGGAGGTCTCATAATCCTGGATCTCCAGCTATACTACAAAGCTTTAGTAATCAATATGGCACTGGCACAAAAATAGACACACAGATCAATAGAACAGAATAGAGGGCCCAGAAATAAACTGACGCTATTATATGGTTAATCTACAACAAAGGCAAGAATATACAATGGGGAAAAGGCAATCTCTTCAAAGAGTGCTGGGAGAACTGGACAGCTACATGCAAAAGAATGAAACTGGACCATTCTCTTACACTGTACCCAAAAATAAACAAAATGGATTGAAGACCTAAATGTGAGACCTGACACCATAAAACTTCTAAAACAAAACATAGGTAGTAATCTCTTTGATATCACCCTTAGCAACGTTCTTCTAGACCCATCTCCTCAGACAAGGGAAGCAAAAGCAAAAATAAACTATTGGGACTACACTCAAATAAAAAGCTTCTGCACAGCAAAGATAACCATCAGCAAATGAAAGAGAAGATATTTGCAAATGCTATATTCAAAAAAAAATCCAAATAAAAAATGAGCAGAGGACCTAAATATTCATTTTTCCAAAGAAGACATACAGTAGCTTCCAAAGAAGACATACAGTAGCCAACAGCCCCATGAAAAGCCACTCAACATCACTCATCATCAGGGAAATGCACATCAAAACCACAATGAGATACCACCTCCCCCCTGTCAGAATGGCTGGAATCAAAAAGACAGAAACCCTCATGCACTGTTGGTGGGAATGCAAGCTGGTGCAGCCACTCTGGAAGGAGTATGGGAGTTTCTCAAAAAATTAGAAACAGAACTACCCTATGATCCAGTAATTCTATACTGGGGTATTTACCCAAAGAAAACAAAAACACTAATGTGAAAGGATCATGCATCCCTGTGTTTACTGCAGCATTATTTGCAGTAGCCAAATACAGAAGCGGCCCAAGTGTCCAACAACAAATGAACGGATAAGGAAGATGGGGTGTGTACATACAATGGAACATACTCAGCCATAAAAAAGAATGAGAGCTTGCTATTTGAGAGCATTATACTAAGTGAAATAAGTCAGAGAAAGACAAATACCATATGATTTCACTCATCTGTGGAATCTTGAAAACAAAACAGACTCTTAAAGACAAAGAACAGACTAGTTTGTCTCCTCCAGAGGAGAGGTTGGTGGGGCGGGGGGATGGGCGAAATAGATAAAGGGGATGAAGAAGTACAAACTTCCAGTTATAAGATAAATCAGAGAGGAAAAGTACAGCCAGTAATACCGTAATAACAGTTGGTGACAGACGGGGACTCCACTTACCGTGGTGAGCACTGAGTGATGTACAGTCCGCTGAATCGTTATGTTGTACATCTGAAACCAACACTGTATTTTAATTACACTTTGACAACAACAAAAAGCAAAGTATTTCAAGGAAATGAGTCTACTTTCACACTAATTTAGCCTCCCTAGCTTTACAGTTGGCAGAGAACGTTCACGGGCTGCAACACCCTTCAGGTGTGCACCCACTGATGACTGGGGTTAGTAGACAAAAGAGGGAACATGCTTTGTCTTTGTTGCTTTCCGTCATTCCAGGACTCCGTTTATGACAAGTTGATTAAACACTGTGATGAAATCGAATGCTGGGTCTACCCATAAGTATACATACTTCTCTCATTCTCTCAAAATGTTACCTACTGCCCTCTAACAGGAAACTACCAGCCCCTTCTCGAAGAAGGTGTGAGGCCCCATTCCGTACTTGTTTTAATTGAAATGACACAACTGTCAGGGCATAATTGATTATTTTCAAGAGCTATTTAGGGGAGTGATTTATTTCTTTAAGCAACTTTCTGTTGATAAAACAAGCTTTCATTTTTGTTTTAGATCACATATATGTTGTCATTTTCAATTCTAATAGTAATTTTTCATTTCGAGTCCCCCTGATGCCATGCTTTCTCACTGCTTTCCAGAAGTGTATTTTACAACCCACAAATTACCCACATCAAAGGTTCAGGGATGAAGCTGTGAAGCTGATAAATATTTTGTATGCATATATTATGTCGATTTGTCACAGAACAAGATTTGAGATAGCTTTTTCATTTAATTTTAAAAATCATTACAAATATGCTTCTATAGGGAAGAAACTCAAAATATTTTTAAAGGAATGGAAACCAGCTTTCTAGAACTTTCCAAATTCCAAAATGGCTCAGAATCAGAGAAACCTTGAAGACCCAAAGGTGAATGTTGGTGGTCAGTTCACTTGATGATGAAAGTTGGCAGGCAATCTATGCATTTGAGAAGTGTAGAGAAAATGAAAAGAACAGAGATTAGCAGAAGACCCTTCAGAGCTTACCCACGGCAGCAAATACCCCAAAGACAGTGTTAATTAGGTATTGCAGACCCCTCATTCCCATCCCCAGAAGGCTACAGACCTGTCCATGTCATTCAGTTTTTCTAGATTAAGACACAGCAGCTAAAGAAGACTATTTTGGTGCTCAAGTAGATTGGCTCATGTTTATCAGGTACCCAGGTGTGTGCCAGGCACTAATTCTAAATATACGTATCAATTATTTGTATCCTTAAGACAATCCAATGTGATAGTTTCTATTACTAGCCCCATTTTGCACAAGAGAATCATAGAGTCTGAGGGAGGTACGGGGAGTTGCTCAACATTAAACAAGCGAAACCCAAATGTGAGCCCAGGATTCTTGCTTCAGTGTCCATATTCCTAACTTAGAGCCTCCTCTAATGAATCTGAGTTTGTATTAGGATTTTTTTTCATCTTCCTGCTAATGACCAACTTAGAATATAAATGAGATTTATCTTCAGCAGAGATTCCATGAGAAGTTGATCTCTCCTAAGTGTTCACTTTCCTGACAATATTCACAATGTATTTGTCCATTTGGTTCCATTACCAAATGAATATTAAGGAAAACAGAGATGTTGCCCAAAGTCACAACTGCAGAAATAATCTCCAAGAGTAATCAAGAATTTGTAGGCTTTCAAAAAGGCCCACCTAAATCACAGCTAGACAGGACTGATACAAGGAAGTCACAATGTCTCTCATTAAAACATGTAATGTGAAATAAGACAGAGATATATTCCACGTACTGTCTGGTTTTGTTTTGGTTCTGCCGTGACTTTGCAAAGCTTTCCAGTGACAAAGGACTGGAGTCGCATAGGGCACTCGGTACAGTTCAAGTTGTGCTCATTATCTGCATGGGGATACTTACTATTCACTACCGGTGATCTCCAATTCAAAGACATCTGCTGCTCTTCATGGGCAAGCATACTTGTTTCAGAGCAAAGAAGAAAGGACCTTCAAGGCACTACTCCAACCGCCTTCTCAATACACAGAATTGCACAGTGTTCCCTCTGCAAAGAGAGTTCCAAGTCAGCAGACAATTGCAGCATACAATGTATCATTCCTGCTCTAAGAAACTTTTATCTTGTCCTTATAAATTCACAATTATTTCATGCAGACATTGTTGAAGAGAAACTAGAATCTTCATAATTTTAGTGATGATTCTAGTATCTGTAAGCGTAGATATCCTCATGCCTTGAATTGTATTTCAAAAGGAGGATGTTTGGGAAGAGCTAATTATTTCAGTGACAACTCAGGGGACATTAGTAGTTGAGGAACTTTCTAGAAGAAACTAGGTCTTTGTAAAAATGACCTGAAAGGTGTTGCTTTCGCCTTGGATTCACTGCTTCATTTTGTAAAAAAAATGCCAGTCATGTACGACTTCCCGGTGTGTTAACGTCTACTCCTCAATACTGAAAAAAGAAGCAAAAGTCACCAAAATGCTAACTGGCATCAGGGACTGTAGTGAAAGCGAGTTTGGGGCCACACTCCCTTTAACAGCCAGTGTGCTCGTCTCACCTCACAGCCTCCTTTGGAACAGCTGTTCACAGGAATGTTCCAGAAACATCAGGAAATCATTACATTACATTTACTACTTGGGAAGAGGGAAATACAGCTTGTTTGTTTTTTTTCCATGAAATTCTTTAAAAAGATAAACAGGAACTAAGGAGCTAACCTTAGATGCTGGTGTTTTTGTTTTTGGGTTTTTTTCCCCCTTTATTGTTATTTCATTAGATAAATAAAGACAGGGAGAGACAGAGACTTTGTGCTTTCTTGCTAAACCTCAGAATCAAGTTTCCTAATCTATATTCCCTTCCAAGTACCTTTTTCCTTCGACTTATCTCTTTACCCCATCTTTTCTTAATAAGATAATAGGGTGAGACGTAGGTATTATGTCTCTTGCTGGCAAAAGTTTCAAAAACAGAGTATTTAGCTTGTGAGATATGATTACATCATAGCATCACACCTCATTTCCTAAGTGGTTCTTTAAAAACATTACCTTTTTTATTCATCCTCTCATGAACTGTATCTGAATTATTTAGGGAGATTCAGAAACAAGCTCTCTAAAAATAAATATGACCGAATCTATAAACTTCTCCTTAACGAAACAAACCCGTGAAATAGGACTCGTCTCCTCCTGGCCAGAAGCTGTGCCTTGGTAGAGGGCAGGGGGCTGCTGCGAGGAAGCCACCAAGTTTGCAGAAGAACTGTGTGGTTGAACTCTTTGGCAGGCTTGCAGGTTACATTTAACTATCCCTTCCTAAGGGCAAAGAATTCCTTGACTTGATCCTCATGTGCCCTTGAAAACCCAAGGCCGTGGCAATCCTGTGACATTTGCCCGGAGGACATGGGTCTCTGGGGTGAAACTCTGGCAAAGGAACATCAGGAAATGAGAAAACATAACTAAAATCATATCTGAGAAACTAATGTCTTATGTGCTTTCGTTTTCCGGATCTCAGAGGTTCATTTGAAGATTCTACGACCAGATTTTACACAGCATGCGTGGTGGAAGCATTCGCCTATCTGCATTCCAAAGGAATCATTTATAGGGACCTCAAGCCAGAAAATCTCATCCTGGATCACAGAGGCTACACCAAGCTGGTCAGTGCACTCTACGCAGGGTGTCCACCCTGCGGTTTTAAAATACTCACTTGGCAAGCTGTGTTCATTAACATCTCCGTTTCCCCGTGTAAATGCTGTTAACTTTTCTTAAAAGCAGATTTTAGAGTTACTATTTTCAGCCAACCATTCTTTTCAAATGATGCAGAAGTTTTATAAGAAATTAAACTGGCTAAATCTAAATTAATACTCCCTTGGCAGACTGTGTTTAAATGGCTATGTTCTAGACCTAGAAGACCTTTGTAGACCTTTTCTGAATCTGCTTTCTGCCATTCACAGGGAAGGGATATTTACATTGTAGAAAACCATGAATCGTTTTAATATTTTAGATTCAGGTATAATCTTTAAGATTTTACTTATTTGAGAGAGAAAGCAAGAGAGAGAACATGAGTTGGGGAGAGAGGCAGAGGGAGAAGCAGACTCCC